GAGAGAGAGAGAGAGAGAGAGAGAGAGAGAGAGAGAGAGAGAGAGAGAGAGAGAATAAGAGAGAACAATGCATATAGTGTGGTAAGTACCATACTAGCAGCTTATGTCTGAAAAGGTTGTTTTCAGTTTACGTCCTCCGAATAGATCAACCCTAACAGAGCAGGTGGAATAAGCACTACCCTGTATCGCGGTCAATCACCTCACAAACGAACGCTGATTGCACAGGAAATAAGTTCAAATTAGCATATAGGATTATTTCATTATAATAAATATAATTTAAAAAAAAAAGTGCATTGGGCAAAGATCGCAGCAGTATATACCATGGAAAGATTCCTAATCTCGATAGCTGTTCTTCGGGCAAAGATCGCAACAGTATATACCATCAGGTAATGATCGCAGCTCTCGTGATTGATGCATCTATCGAACAGTTGCATGTATGAGCAATGTCATAATTTTATTTGTTACTTAATGAATAGTATCTCTTGCACTATATAATCGAAGGATAATGAAGAGAGCATCAAAAAACGAAATGGATGCAGAGGTGGGAAGAATGGTGAGAAGTCGAGACCCAGGCATCATGGTTTCTAATCAAAGATAGTAGCAGAAAGAAAAGAGACCTGATCTTGCACCTGATGAGAGGGAAAAAAAAAAAAAAAAAATGGAACAGCCGGCCGTCGACAGTCATCCTCGTCAAACCAAGGTTTGACCAAATGCTCGATTGCAACTCAGGTACGTTCCCTCTAGTCACTGAGCAAGTCGTTAAGAGGCAATCGAACCTCCACGCATTCCACCACCCTCTGGTGAAAAACTTATTTATCCTGGTGAGATTGCAACTCAGGTACGTTCCCTCAAGTCACTGAGCAAATAGAACCATCAACTCTTACCAACTTAACGATGTATCCGGTTGCATTTATACTCAGATACATCGTTAAGTTGTTAAACATCGAGAGAACAGACCTAACGATGTCCCGGGTATAAATGCAAAGACAAAGAGATGATGGTGTAAATAGATATTGAGAAATGGAGTACGCACATTTGGCAATGCTCCGTGTGCTCAACAGATAGATAGATAGATAGATAGCTCGGTCGACAGGCGTTCGTTGTTAAAGACCATTCTGTAAGAAGAGAACACTGACCGGTTCTTTCACGCCGACGCTCACCGAGCTTGAGAAAAGGTACTATTTACGATCCCGCTCGTAGTTGACGTAAAACTTTTCCCCGTGTTTGTGTTCCACTGGCTCTGATCCGCCGGTCGCGATACTTCCATTGAGGAAGAGAAATCTCCTCCTGTCTGTGAAGGTGATGAGATATCCTCAACCGCGGTCAGGATCTCGTTCTCGAACATGTCTTCCTGACTGTCCGTTGCATCCTGCTGACTCTGCGTCTCACCCATCGTCCCGTGTAATATCCGGCATTCGCCAGCGTATGGATCTTCGACTGCCTCAACTGTTGGCTTGAAGCCTCCGGGGAAGGAGTAATGGTACTGGAATCTTGAATCTGCGGTAAACGCATCCCATTTCGTGATATGTGAAAGCGAGACCATGATGGAGTTCGCACTCGCGCCAGGCCTCATGCTGTTGTTGAAGCTGCTGAGAATGACCCCATACACCGGGAGATTGTGCCGTTGCTTGTTGGTCGTCATCAAGTGAACGTAGAGTTTGATGCTCCGCAACGCCGAACAGGACATCGGCCGTGCGCATCCAGGGTTGATCTCCTCCTTGTGGAAGCAATACTCGTGTTTCTTGTTGTGAAGACAAACCCGTACTGGAACATCATGGTTGTTCAGAACCCAGATCGCATCCCGAACAAGTCTAGGAGAACGACGAGTGACCAGCACCACCCCGTCGGTTGGCAGCATCCGCGGCGATCCTGATGACGTTGATTGCCGAGAAATGGAAACTACATCTTGCATCGTCTTCCCCGCGAGTGAGTCATACCCAGGTGTGACACTGATTTAGACAAAACAGCAACAAGGCAAAACAACCATCAGACCCAGTCCATATGTCATTGAGTGAATGCTTCGTTTTTTTTTTTTTTGACAAACAGATCTGCGCTGCAACCCTGCTAGAATAAGATAAGTAAACCAACGCTGAATTAATATCTGGGACCGGTCAGTTCAACGATAACGTCATTCCAGGAGACAGAAGAAGGAGAAGAAAAAGGTGAACAACAACAACAACAACAACAACAAAAAAAAAAAAAAAAAAAAAAAAAAAAAAAAAAAAAAAAAAAAAAAAAAAAAAAAAAAAAAAAAAAGACCTGCTCCTTGCCTTCTCCTCCACTGCAAGTAGTACACACTTCGAAGTTTGAACAGCGAAAAGGTTAACTGGGATAGTTTCACTTTCCAAATTTCCATCCATCTGCTCGACTCTAGTATTGTCACTCTCGCTTCTCAACATCTCCAAGGAAAACAATCCTACTAGGAGCTTTATTGCACAGAAAACTTCCATCAAGTAAAAAGATTTCCAAGCAAATAAAAGTATTAAAAACACAGCACACGAGATTGGATGTTATGGGGGAAGGATGCAAACAAGGCTTGAAGCAGTATATAATATATATCATATATGTTACATATCCAAATCGAAAATCATATCACATTTCCATTTACGTGGGTGTGAGGTAGGTGAATATACTATATACTATATATATTATATAGTATGTACTATGTACTGTGTACTTGTTTCTTTGATTCAGAGAAGTCTGCGACACCGCCCTGTGTCAGGAGGTGTGTATTCGGCAAGCATCAGGCAACCTGCACAGGAATGATGCATTGCAGCAGACCCTATGAATCTTTAGTACTCTTTACATCTTTTATGAAAAGTTCAAACTTTCAAAAATATCAAAACTTCATTAAAAAAAAAAGAACAGAAAACACAAGGAAAAAGAAAAAGACGATCAAAAGATCTGCTTGAGAAAAAGGTAGAAGTTCATCAAAATCTTTTTTTTTTTTTTTTTTCCTTTTTCGGGGCCCTAACACACAGGCCCCTGCCATTCTGGAGGGAAGCAGTCCGGTTACTTGTCCCCGGCATGTATGTTTGTACAAAGACAGTGGGAGAGAAAAGAAGATAGGAGGAGGATCAGCCTAGTAAGTCATGGCACTAGTAAAAGGGTCTTAACGATTCAGACCCCAAATGAGTACCCCAGTCCGGTTACTTGTCCCCGGCACTGGCGCAGCTAAAAGTCGTGTGGAAAGTCACAGTCAGGTCCTGGACGAACAGGCACTGTGTTTTGTTTTAGTGCTAAAAGTCGTGTGGAAAGGTCACGTCTGTTCAATAGTAAGTCAAACGTCACAGTCCCAGGCCAGTCACAGTTCCCAGGGTCACGTCTGATTCAGTCCAGGAGTTCAAAAGACAGGCCCGACGGCCACAGCAGCAGCAGACCATGGGAAAGGGTACTGGGACACACATTTTGCAGCAGCAGGTACTGGGTAAGAGTCCTAGGTGAAAGGAGGCTGGACGCAGACCTCATTCAGTCAGTCGAATTGTATAAATGACCTGGCCAGCCTCCCATCCGGCAGATTCCCATGGGCATGAGAGTGTGGAAGTGCCGAGGCACTTGTGCGCCAGAATGCTAGTGAACTGTGCAGGCTAGAGAGCTGCGCTAAGGAAGAAGAAGGGAGCTGGGCGCTGGCTGAGAGAAGCAGCCATAGCTGCGCCAGCAGAAGTTAGTAGCAGTAGAAGGGTAAGTAGCAGGAGTTCCAGTGAGTAGTATTCAGAGTAGATCCATGTGTGATAGGGGGGAGTGTGCATGCATGGTGAGTGAGAGCAGACCAGGACTATAAATATAGAGGGAGAGAGAGAAGAAAGCAGATAAGAGAGGGGGAGGAGTGAGCTATGGTGACACTTAGTACCTGTTGAGCGCTGTTGATGATGATTGGCAGTTGGCGCTGATGAGCGCCAGGCTTGGTACACGTGTTGGTTGAAGAAGACTTGTAACTTCGTTCAGCGCTGTATATTTTGGACTCACGATGTTCCCTCCTTAATCTGGTTTTGATAATTGAATTGAGCTTCCTGCTTCTCATTCATTTTCTATTGGGCTTTGTGTGAGACATCGCAATTCATGAAATCTGCATTTATGCATGCGATCTAATGCACTCCAGCAAGTGATGAACAGTCGGGTTCCTTGCACTAGCTCCCTGAGCAAGGGGCGGGTGGGGGGGGGGCACCATCTGTGCACCCCACCCCCAAACCTTTGGCCCTCCACGGTGCATTGCCCTACTGGCCGGGAGAATTACTAGCAGCACCCAGACACACAGTGGCGCGTGGGGGGGGGGGTTTGCTCAGGCAGTCCCTTAGACCGCTTACCAAGCATCAACTGCGTGCATGTCAATCTCGCCTTGCCTAGTATCTGGCAACGGCTTTCAAAACTTCTTAAAGTTTTTCTTTTTCTTTTTCCCACAGGGCGACAGCGTTGAGATATCATCATTGAACTGATCGGCCCCAGGTGATTCAGAATGATTTTATTCTGGTCAGTGACATCTGATTGCGTATCTGGATTCAAACCTGGCTCTGTAGTTCAGCAGTTTGCAGGTGTACCGACTGACCAACTGGGGTCTGTATCTGGATTCTAAACTTTCAGAAGAATCAGAACAGTTACTTGGAAAAAGAAAAAAATCAACAAAGAAAAGACAAAAGGATAAAAAAAAGGCATTCAGGAGTTCAGCTTGAGAAAGGTATGCCTTCCAGGCATCACCCAGTATCTGTCAGCCACCCCCACAAAGACACCAGCACACAGAATCCGATTATAACATGGAAAAACTGCAACCCGCAACAACTCCACTCACCGATGGGGGACAGCCTCTGTCTTGTTGACTTCGCCTGCTTGGGGAAGATACTCGTACTGCACACCGGAAAATCATGGCCATAGCAATTCAATCCATTTCAGTCCACCGAACCTTTCAAATAAATAGTAAATACACATGTCAATCCACCGAACCTTTCAAATAAATAGTAAATACACATGTCAATCCACCGAACCTTTCAAATAAATAGTAAATACACATGTCAATCCACCGAACCTTTCAAATAAATACACACGTCGTTTCTAGGAGCAACTTCCAAGTTGAACTTCCTCCTCTTGTACATCTTTCTCACTGGAACTTGTTGATGCCAAGACTCCACACAAAGCGCTAAAAGATTAATATCTCAATACAGAAAAGAGAAAGGAAAGGAAAAAAAATAAATAAAAATAAAAATGAAGTTGTCTTGCTCACCATCTCTCTGAACAACTGGATCTCTTTTCTCTATTGAAGTAGCCTGAGAGCATACTCACACTAGTGTTTTCTTCACTAATCTTTTGACGTATTTGCCAACCGATTCATCCCGTTCCAGCAGCAATTGTGTCCTGAGTCTCGTGAAATCGTCGTGCTTAGCACATTTAGCATGTCCGCAGATTCCGCTGGTGTGTAAGTTGCCCTTCCCCAGTTTCCGTAATAACGTGCAAGCTTTGTATTACCTCAAGTAATTCTACGCACGTGTCCCTGTCGATATCCCGTCGTCAGAGTTACTCATGTCTCTTCTTGCGATCTTCTTGCCGCCTGCATATTTCTACCTTCGAAACATGTTTTGCGCGACTATAGCACACTGTCTTGATGATTACGACATTCTTTTTGAGGACGACAATTTCTCCATTCATACATGTCATCCATTACATTGCGACATTCTTTTGAGGACATTCTTTTGAGGACAATTTCTCCATTTTCGCCTGCCTTTGCATCTTTCCGATTTCAAGTTTGTAACGGAGGCCGCAAAGAACGAGGATTTGATTTTCTGAGTCTAGCAGAGACTAGGTTTGAAATATGAAACACAAAATGCCCCGATGTGTGCACGACAAACCCAGAAGTTTTGTTAACCAATGACCCGACGATGTGTGCACTACAATCCCAAAAATTTTGTGGCCGTCTTGTTCTTCGGTGTCTGGCCCGTTTTGTAGTCATGGCATTTTTTATTTTTTTTATTTTTTGTTTGTTTGTTTGTTTGTTTGTTTGTTTGTTTGTTTGTTTGTTTGTTTGTTTGTTTGTTTTTGTTTGAAGAGATTACGCACTCACATGGATGTACATTGTACATCCATGATTTCACAACACTGAGCGTGCACGAACCATTTGCAGCCACCATGGCCATTCATCATCAGACTGAGTGCTAAAATACTAAAATAGTAAAAAATACAAAATTGCAATTCTGGGAACAATCAAACCACTCCGTTGTCATGCTATACGAGCTGTAAAGATTACAGCAGACATACTTGCACTCACAAATTACAGAATTTGGCTGTGATTTCCGGTCAGATACATGCATAGTATTGCATACTATTCTGATTCCAGATCCCATGCTGTTGAAATATTAACAGATCATGGTTTTGAAGGTCATCTGTTATGAAAGACTTTCCCTTAAGTGGATATTATGTGGAAGTACGATACGATGATTCTGAGCTCAAGTGCATTTATCACAGTAACTGTTCTACTGACACATTCACAATGATTCAGTCATAATAGTCGCACGTGGAATCGCAATGCCACTCACACATTCAGTCATAACAGTCGCATATGGAATCGCAATTCCACTCACGCATTGCGCCTCGCTCCACTACTCACCACATGCACAAACGACAAAAATTATGGCAGTGTATTTTTCCATGTTCTCACGGAAGATTCATTCTCATTTTGCACGATTGGTGCGAAGTGAATCGAGGCCCATGAGGAACAGTGATTTTTTTTTAATTTCTATCCGCTGACAGTCCGCAACCACAGACATATAGGGCCGCCTCGCCACATCACTCAGGAAACGAAAAACAATGCAAGCACATCCTCCCTCAGAAGTCGGCAAAAAAACGTTGTTTGCTTTGACTAGGGACCCATCAAAATAACCACCTTCTTCGGGAAAATGCATCTGCGTCGCTTTCCGTTGAGTAAGTGGTTTAGCGATGCCAATAGCAGAACTGCAGTATGCAGATTGCAAAGAAAAGAAAAATGAAAAAGAAGGAAAACAATTACAGAAAATAGAATTCGGCATCAGGAAGTAGATGTAGAGGCCTCTACCGTCTTCACCCGAATAGAAAGCCCGGTAATTATGGCCGTATTTGGGGCAACTTTTAGTCCAGATACAACGATCATGACCGGGACTTCATTCGGGTGAAAGACTGTAGGGCGAGAGCATGAACGTCATGCCAAGGAAGTCGATCACACAACTGTCTGATTGCAAGGTGGTGTACAGAATGGGAGTCGAGATGTGATGAACAGCGAGCGCACTGTCAGGAGAAATGTTTGCACAACTTCAACAAGGCATCAAGCAAATTACTATTAATAGTATTAATTAACTAGTATTCAGTTTTAACATGTTCAATAGAACAATCTGAGTTTTTCAACAAGTCGAAAACGAAGAGAGAAAAAAAAAAGAAAAACAAGGGCATCCCAAATTCCCAAGACTTGAAAATCATTGGAAAAAATAAAGTCAAGTTGGCATCACACCTCTGGTTCGACGGCATAATCCAGCGCACGGGTGGCGACCCCAGCTGACTGTCCAGCTGCAGCTGGCCCCAAGGTATTGCCTACAATGTCTGCGTCCGTTTCTGGAAGTAGTGGTGCCTGTAGCGCCCTTGACGACCCCCTTCGGTACCTTCTCCTCCCTCCACAGGCTGTCTTAAGTATGATCGAAAAAATGAGCGTGAGCATCTTTTCTCCATAATATGTCCACACATCATAAAACACAGCAATATCAAAACACACACACACACACACACACTGATTCTGGTAAGCAGCTTGGAGAGTACAGCCCATGTGGCCAAATGGTACAGAGTACTACAGACATGTAACTGTTAATAAGAAGATCGTGAGTTTGAATCCTGATCGATTCAAATTGACACAACGAGGTTAGGGTTACCCACGTCGGCAGAAGAAGAAAAAAAAAAAAAAAAAAAAAGAGCAGGCAATATGGAACGCGAGTGCAACATATCAATCGCAGAGACGGGCATAGACAGCACAGTTTCCCGAAGCGAATAAAAAAAGTCGAGCCGTAAAACTCCGAGCTTCCAGAATAGGGATATCGTGTAGAACTCTCACGACAACAGGATGAAGCTCTCAGTGGAAAGTACACAACACATTCCAAATCGATCTACAGGTCCTCAAGTCCCAAAATAAAGGGGTGCGCACCAATAGCAAATCACAACATGAGCAGACACACACGACATGCACAGGTCATCCACAGCATGCACACACAAGCTTGCGCATGGGAAGCGGACACAGGTCATCCACACCATGCACACACAAGCTTGCACCCTATATATTATATAAAATTAAATTAAAATTTAAAAAATTAAAAATGTTCGGGCTCTGTCGATTTTTGGCCACGTTCAGGCTCGGTACCGAGCATTCGGGTTCGGTGACCGAGCCCGAACACGATGATACTCAGCCCACAGCCATGCACACCAAATCAGAACTAGGTGCAATGACTTGCTGTTTTCTGGTCGCCTGTAGCCTCTCTCTGTCGAGGCTGTACTATAGGTAGGACAGATTCGTAATTTTGTTTGGCTGAGGGCTAACCGAGTGACCTGCCTGTAAGGAAAATTCGTGAGGGACATATCTGCAAATTTGGGAAAAAAATACAGGCCTACTACTAACTGAATTTCCTACAACTACCCTAACTGCGAATAGCAGGCCCGGGCTACCTATAGAATAGACAGGCCCTAGGAACCTATACTAATAGACGGTGCTATAGCCTATAGCCGGGTTGGGGGAGGCCCTAGAGGTCGAAACCGAATAGGTACCGGTTGGTCAGTCGGTCCGGTCTAGGTCGAGTCTAGGCTAGAGTAGCTATACATAGGTTAGGCACATCGGTTTAGGGCTCTTTGGCAGTTGATACCGAGTACATCGTTGCTGCGCTACGCGTGAACCGGAAGTGGTGACGGCTCAGCGTTGTGAGAGACAGACATAGCCAGACCTTCGGAGCGCCAGCCATAGCTGGGGCCTGCGCTGTACTCTGTCACCACCTGGGGCGGTCAGAGGTATGGGCTATCTGAGGTCTGCTGGAGGCGAGAGAAGTTGGTGCCCTGCTGGACCCTCCTCCAAAGTGGGGTCACTGCAGCTTCTTCCTCAGAGGTCATCTTGTCAGGAGTGGTGGCGCTGCTGCAGACTTCCACCCGGGAAGTCTTTCGACACTTCGTCATCATCAGATACTGTGGTGCTGATCTTCTTCTTCACCCTCTGAGTGGCGCTTGACCTCAGAGACCGTTTCAGGGTGGCGCTGTCCTCTCGAGGCAGTACTTGGGTGCCGCTTGTTGTTTCAGGGGCTCAGGGGTGTTACGAGTGGTTACTCAGGGTTGGGGAGTGAAGCGCTGCTCACTTCTGAGCAGCGCACTGTAGTTCTGAGGTTATCCTGACAATTCGAGACTCTGAGTTTAATAAACAGTGTGATCCTGGGGTTGGACTATCATCGTGTCATTGTTTCCTGGATGTGAACTACACAGCTCTTCTTTATGACTGGTTATGAGGATTGAGTGGTCCAGGAGTGAATTGCACTTTCAGTGTACCCTGTCGTGGCGCATGGTTAAGTCTTCCATTGTGTTTCTCTCTCCCTGTCCGGTGCGATACTCCTATCCTCTCCCCTTCCTTCTGTGTATGTATGGGCATACCTGGAAGTCTATGTGAGCGAGTGTTGGTCTTCAGACAACGGACAACCAGAATCATAACATAGGTTCGAAAACTTTTCATCAAATCATTCATGGAACAGCCTCAAGCCAAGAGGCCACTAAAAGGTTCAAGAATCAAGACACTTACAAAAAAAGTCACCTCTTCTATGATCTATCAGTTACAAAATGCCAATCGCAATACACTGCCAAGCTGTGATGTTTTCCGGGCAACCCCGGCTGGCTGTGCCCCAGTGGGCCCGGCCAGGCGGGGGGTCCAGGCAGGGTCCCAGGCAGGGTCCCAGGTAGGGTCCCAGGCAGCCAAAGCGCAAAATGTTTTAAACAATAAAACTAAAGAAATCCAAAAATTTGTGCAAAAGAAACACGTTGTCTACAATGTCGTTGCAGACAACTTCTGGCTGAGCGTCACCTTGTAATTCCTTAGTAATTTTGAGGTTAAAAGTTAAAACAAAAAAACAAAAAAGCGGATGAGAATTCGATATACCCACCCCTTTGAAGTTTGAACCCCTTCAAAACCTGATTATACCCCTCTGAACCCCTTCAAAACCTAATTATAGCAACTGCATACCCTCAAAACCCCCAAGTGGAACCCATCGCCTACATGGGAAAAAGCATCCACATCATTTTTTAACTTTTCATCTTAACAACAACCCTCGTTCGAAAACCGCGTTGACATTTTATTAGTGCCCAGCACACCTATTGTTCAAAATATGAAATTATGAATGTGAAGAAACTTAGAATTTTTTCAGAATATAGAAACTTTTAACAGAATTCTGAGAATTGCCATGAATTAAAATTTAAAACGGTTTCAGCCTTTGAATCTTTTGACGCACCTCAGCACCAAGGACAACACCCATCAGGATCATACAGATCTTCTTATGATTAAGAACATATTCCTTCGCTTTTTCCACCTCCCCCGTCGGGTCCTTTGGAATGTCCTGCACAAGACGAGTATCATAAAATGTCGTATCATTACAAAATGCTGTATCATTACAAAATGTCAGTAGCAACACCTCCAACTAGTGCAAAGCACTGTGCATGCCATAGCATTGGATGCAGAATTACCTCCTGTTTTTTAAACTTTTTTCCTTTTTTTTTAATAAGACCACTTCTGGTCCTTATTGTTGTGAAATTTGCGCACCTAGTTTGGCTCATTTCGAAGGGGCCCGGCTTGATTTTATGTTGACAGTTGAAACATCACATGCTCGCAAATGTGGTTACTATCATAGGTAGTACTCAGGATATTGTGTTCGGAGAAGGCGATAGGTAACACTTCGTGTCATGTAATAAGCTCTCAATCAAAAAAAAACACGAAGTCTTGAAGCGATTTATGCATGTCAGCCTTGCGCAGAGGCCATTTTTTTTCTTCTTCATTTTCTCTAACAAAAAGTACTCATTGGAGAACAGCAAAGTTTAACATTGTACAATACAACATTCCAATCATGACTCAGTCACTTCACAATAGATCTTCTCAGAGTCTCAGAAACATAATTCTAACTGCAAAGGACTGCTTGTCAAAATGGACATGGAGCCGGGCCCATAAGAACCTGATTTTTTTATTTTTTTTTCAAGCATGTAAGGAATTGCACGGGTACTCGATAAGTCTATAAAATTTCGAAGTTGTGTACTTTGTGCTCCTTTACACTGCAACTCTCTCTCTCTCTCTCTCTCGCTCTCTCTCTCTCTCTCTCTCTCTCTCTCTCTCTCTCTCTCTCTCTCTCTCTCTCTCTCTCTCTCTCTCTCCCCCTCCCTCTCTCTCTCTCTCTCCCCCCATCTGATTTCTCAAGAACCTCTTCCCTATATCCTTATATACGTTCTACGGTGTGGAATTTGAAACAAGGGCCCTGACGCCGCTGAACTACGTCTAATACATCGATGCTCACATTTGACATTAACTGTCAGATGGCCATACAAAGACCAAGACAGGATCAAGTTTTGGGCTTCACCCTTCGTTTGCCAATCCCGGCAGAGGCTACAGTAAGATGACAAGGTCAAGCACCAACCACGTCAACCACCAGCACACCCGAGCCTGGCGGACTGCACTGCGAGCCAAGCTTATCCAAATCGCTGACGTTGCAGCGCTACCAGCCGATGTGGTCTGGTAACTGTGAGCCCGCAAAATTTTAGGAGTGAGCCATGAGTTTTTGAAGTTGGCCAGGGCCGTGTAATTGCGGTTTGCGGTTTAAAGTGTACCAAGGAAAAAACTCAGAAGATCACTAAGACCCGGAGCAGTTCTTTAGCAGGTTCCTATTCAGAAGAGTGGTTCCGAACTGTTATCAGTGCTCGAACTCGCTTAGGGCTTAAGGAGGGGCACCACTAGTTCCATGTCAACGCTGAAAAGGGCATGAATCTGGACGTTAAGATAGCCAGATTCGCAGACGCTTAGCACGAAACATAGCACTAGTCGGTTCTGGACCTTTAGTTGATAGCAAGTTTAGGGTAATGGCAAACACACCGTAGCATCTCAACTTCAGGGGGCGTATCACCGGCAGAGAGAGTAAAAGAATGGATGAACTGGGTAAGTCTGGGTACATACTACATACCTTATCCAAGTGTTTGTCTGTGATAACAGCTGCCACCAGCATTCCATGGCCAGCCACCAGAAGCACCAAACCAAATATGTACTGAACCAAGGTTATTGTCAAAACAGTCAAGGTCAAGTAACGGGATGACGATGGTGACATCCACACACTGTCAGGAGGCTTGGCTTGCTTTATGGCGTGGCTCGCTTTTCTACCATACACATACGACAAAAGAGAGAGAGAGAGAGAGAGAGAGAGAGAGAGAGAGACGGTTCATGATTTCATCACAGATGGAATATAAATAATAAATTCCAGAGAGGTTCTATTATATGACTGGGACCACTTGGTCGAGGGCAGAGGAGCGGGGGAAGGTCGGGGCCTCAAGGAAATGATGCCCCCCTTCGTACTATGCGCATTTGCCCGCAGAAGTGTGGCGGAGGAGGATGAGAATAAAGAGTGAAAACAAAATGGTTCAGAAGACTACCAGGAATAGTAATCAGACATCAGTCAAGGGAAGATTGCTAATATAATAACCTAAGTATATGATAAGTTCGATAACTAAACCTCAAAATGGCGCTGACCAGTCTCAAGAATATCTCGCCGCAATCGCCCTTTTAAACAAATCAGAACGTAATTCACGATGACCTCGATCACATCTCAGAGGTAGTTGCCCGTTCACAAAAATAAATCACAAATTTTATTCATGCACATTGCATACTGCCACATCTGGATGAATGACCACTTGTCGATTCTGTGCTGCCTGTGCAACTCCAATTATAGCATATAGATCACCGAGATACGAACGCAGATGAAGAACAAGAGTCATGATTGAAGGTGGTTAGCAGCAAGCCCTGAGCTCCCCCCCACCCACATCCAGATTGTAGAATCTGCTCAAGCAATCATCTTCCGACAGAGCTTTCAGCGTTGAAGACTTCAACGACTTCCAAAGGGGTTCAGAATCCCTTTATTGAACGTCGAGCAGAAAAAGAAGGCATCAATCTGCTATGTGATCTTTGTTTAGAGAAAGGATACGAGACACAAGCAGCAGTCGTTTTGGCAGTCCGTGGCAATCAGGCCGACAAATGACACCACAAACGTGAAGACTCCAAGTGCAAGAAATGTAAAAATGAACCTGCACACAAGTGACGACAGCCGAAGAAAGCCCACATTAGTAAGCATCTATTCTTTGGTTCTTGAAATAACTCTCAGAGAAAGAAAAGAAAAAAAAAACAGGGGTCGAATCCAGCACTTTAACCAAAGAGCTGCTCAAACTCCACCGGGCTAATATATCGAATGTCCAGTCACGTCAACCTTTCCTGCCACATACCGAGGACGAATGGCTCTCTTTGCATAAACAATTTGGTCAATTGGAACCATTTTAATAAGTTAAACCTTCTCTGAAGGCCTATATAGGCCTCTTCCATGGTCTGAACTGTCCTCCATGCCGACAAACACCGCAGGGGGACCCCATGGCCGGCAGCGACCCGGTAAATTAAAAGTCCTTCTGAGTTATGCAGGTCAGAACCTTGGCAGGCAGAGGGTTGCACCAACTAAGGGTGACAACCACACCCCCCACTACACAGCACACAGCAACTCAATCAACGACTGCCAGGCGCAGGGCTTCAAATTTCCTTCCTCAGGTTCAAGCCCACTACCGCCTTCGTACATGCTAACTGGAAGGGCATGACACCTCAGTACCTGATATATTGACTGCCTATGGACCCCAAACTGCACAAGGAATTAAGAAAAGAAAAGAAAAAAAGTTGTTGATTCGTTTATTTATATTTTGAAAGGGAGCAGACCCGAAGGTCATTACATTGCCCGTGTGCTCTATTCAGGGGAGGGCGGCAGGAAGTCTTACACACACGATAGATAAAATAAGTCCGAATAACTGATAATACAGCAATAATGGCACAGAACGTATTAGACGTAATAAGCACAGACTCGCCACAGAGTAATATAATTACAGTAATACACATATATATTTATTATATTGTCAAATTGTAATGAACCTAGAGTGCAATTACCAAACAAACATGGAAGAAATAATACCAGAATAGAAAATATGGATAGCAAGAAGCACGAAAAGTCAAACTACAACTGCGTTGAACTTCTTGCTCTTCTGCATTTTCCACTTTTTATATCTATAATCTACAGAGATACATGTGTGTAACACTATGTACATAATACTATATGAATAAATATGAAATCAATACAAAATTGCAAATACATGCACGGACTAGATACTACTACCTAGATATAATAATGATACATGTATGGCATTGTATGCACAATCTTAAACTACCCCAAAAGGGCCAAACCACACACAGTCCTCAGCCTGAGGCTGCTGTGATGAACCGAGTCACACGATACCGACATGCTCACCAGAGCAGTAGTAAAAGTTACACCACCTCTCAAATGTGGAAAGAATGCTTCTTTCCCCAAAAAAAAAAAAAAAAAAAAAAAAAAAAAAAAAAAAAAAGTGAAACCACCAGTACATCTGGAAAATTCAAATGAGCCTCAGTCTCCGAAAAGTTAGGGGACTCGGGACAGGGCTCGTCTGGGGGGCTAGCGGCATTTTTTTTCTTTTGTTCAGGGCTGGGCCTAGCGCCACCCCACAGCATGGGACATTTTTGTCTTCCTAGTGGCCCTTCCTGCGCCCTGTCCCGAGCCTCCGGAATTTTAGGAGAGGCTCATGACAATCGGATTGTCAACCTTGCACAGGGGCCATGTATTGGCGGTTTAAAATTTAAACCCTTCCCGGACCGTGTCTCCAAGGAGATCACCCCACCATGGCACACTGAAAAACCAAAATGTGAAAGACAGAGAGACTCAGTGTCTACCCTACGGCTAACACACCGAAAGTAGGGTTTAGCATTCACTTTTGCTGTTGTCGGCCACCGCTCAGAAAGTGACAAAAACAACTTGGAATGTGAAAACCAGTGCTGCATCCAGGAAGTATGCGACCTGTCCTTCGGGACATCCGTTAAAATTGGAGCGATACAGAGAAGATTAGTGTGGCCCCTGTGCAAGGATGACAGGCGTAGATCAAGAAACGGTCCAAATCTTTTGTTTAAAAAAAAAAAAAAAAAAAGGAAGTATGTGACCTACAGCGAACACACACAAAGCATGCCAAGTTACAAACACACACAGAGAGTGTACAATACCTACAGCTTAAGCTGAAGCTGTTCCTAGCATCTGCCACCGAAGGAGCCACACTCAGAAGCGTCTGCACTCGCCCAGTAAGATCGTGGTATGTATGTAGAACCGGTATTTTTAAAGCTTGCAGTCACCGAAAAAGATCCAAACTACCATTGCTGCCCCTGCGTGACACAGAGCCTCGCTCCATTGCTCGACATTTTACATGTATCTGGACGTGTATACCGACGGGTACATCAGGAGTGATCCAGCTTGTTGAACGTATGGAAAGAACAACGTGGACCAGATGCATTTAGAATGTGGTGCAGTGGAGCAAGGGCCACAGTCTGCGAGTTGTTATATCTTACGATCTCTTGTCTTCAAGCTCATGAAGCGCATACGTACACCTTAGTTTGCATAAATGCTCATGTCAGAAGGCTTTTAGACAAGCAAGGTCGACGGTTATGTGGCCTGCACCATGGCAGTCAGTTGTCCTTCCATGTGCTTTCTGACGACTGCATAGGCGGCAGTAAGCCAAACTATAGAGGCACATATGCAACCCACCCTTTCTCTTCAAGTTCATCTTCCTAAGAAAAGTAACAAACAGACTTGAGGAGCTCGACACACGACTCAGTGGCACTCACCAAACGCCAATAATTTGAATGCATCAGGACATAGGACCGGTCCATATGCAATCAAAATCATGTTGGGATTTGGCGAGTGGTGTGGCAAGTCCCTGAGTCTTGAGCAGAATCACATTATCCAGTGGGGCCCAGCTCCACAGTATCTGCTCTGCGCTTTCTGGACTTGTCCTGGCCTTCCATCCAACACTGTTCGATATCTCTTTATCAAGTTTATCTAAATCTGAAAGAAACAAACGTGTATCGCATCCCATGTGCATCCCACGTACAGCAAAAAAACATGGATTTTTTTGCTGTCAATTCTACTATGATCTTATTTGTTCCTATGCTCCTGTCCTTCGCATGAAACAAAAGGCGTAGCATCCCATGTGCATCCCACGTACAGCAAAAAACATCGATTTTTTGGCTGTCAATTCTACTATCTTAGTTGCTCATATGCTCCTGTTCTTGCATGAAACAAAAGGTAAGTTTCAAGATATCGATGTTTTTTCCCACCCGCACTATGTCTGTTGACTTACTGTGCAGCATCCCTGTTCCAAAATGGTTTTTCGCCCGTCTGTACGAGTTCAGTTCGTCCGTTAGGCGTTTTCGCACATCCACTGTACAACATATCACGTAGTATACGTGTGAATTCCAAAAGATGTTGCATCCTTCTTCAGATCCCATGTGGCAAAAAGTGGAAAAAAAAAAAAAAAAAACGGAAAGGGGAGAGCATGGCAAGGTGGGAGAGAAGGTGGGAAAAAGCCGTGGAAACCAAACGATAAAAAGAACCGCCAACCATGGTGTTGGACACTGGACAACCATGAGTGGAAAACTGTCATTCAATAAAGTTTTTGCCAACTTCTGGATCCTGTACGGCTGGCTGCTCATGGTTTTGGTGGTTTGGAGGGGCGCGGCCAGGGGGGGGAGTGGAAGGGGAGGGGGGGAGTGGAAGGGGAGGGGGGGAGAAGGGGAGGGCGGGGGGGCGGGGGGGAAGAAGAAGGGAGGCCAAGAACAGGCACAGGAGGGAGATTTAATATTTATTGATCGTGTATGACTGTTCATGTGCTTTTCACTTGCTTTGAGTATTCCTTTTGGGGAGTGAAGAGGGTATGTTGCTTTTCACACTTGCTTTGAGGATTTGTTTTGGAGCGTGTAGTTACTGACTGGACTTTTCTTTTCACCAATTCGAATACCAACATTTAATATTTAGATAATCTGTGTGACTTTGCAAGTTTGCTTCCTAGTCTCTTTTAACCCCCAAAACAGAAAAGGAGCTGATGGCCGTCCAGGCTCGTTTTTCCCTTTTTTTTTACTTTACTAAATATATATATATATACATGTACATATATATATATAGATATATTCCGTGCAAGTGCAGCTCTAACATCTTCAGACATTATGATGAGAATCCCCCGTGGTTAGGGGAAGGTGCCACAAGTGGTATGTCTGTGCTAAGTCAGCATGAACCTGTCCTCTGTATAGGTCAGGTTCATGCAAACTTAGGGCACCAGTCGGGCATGGCTGCCATATGATGGCCCATATCCAGAACATCTCTGTAGTTGATCTGTCTGCCAGCCCTTCAAGTTTTCAGAACACCCCGCTTCAGCGTCTCTTTCCCGGTCCAAAGTCAGTGGCAGCAAGTATTTACCTCCAGAATATATCTGACTACCAGGGGGTGAATAGAAAAATCCCTTCCCCTCCCTCAACCCCTTTGTCTCCCCTCGCCTCCAACGCTCCACGTCCTCTGGAGTGAAACCAACCTAACCCCAAGTACAGACCTGACAGGCAGATACACCAACTCCATGGTCTCATGTGGTCCTCGTTACCAACCCTAGATGGGAGAGGGAGGGAGTTCGGGAAACTGAATTTGACTTATCAAGAAAATCAGTTCTAGCTCACCATACTCACATCTGCAGCAGCAAAATTTAATGCAGATCGAGCCGTCAAACAGTGCACCTCATGCAAAGGACTGCACAGCTTGAACCACCAGACTGAGTACGTTTCCCAGCCATTTCTCAGAAACGCGCCGTACACGCTGGCGTGTTGGGCAGTATGCACTGGGGTGCAGTTTCGCCCAAAATCAATCCAGACAAATCAGGCCTCGCATGCAACCCGTTTTGCCTGCCAGTGGATGGATTTCGGGTGAAGCAGCACCGGTCCCGTGGTGCATCCCACCCAATGTGCCAGCATGCACGGTGCGTTTCTGCAAAACGGCCGTGAAACGTACTGCTGGTCTGAAGATCAGTCCAATGTCATCCAGCAGGTTTAAATCGACCGATAAAGATCCTTAACTAAAAGCACCCCCCTCGCTCCCCCGCCTGCTACATTTCCCTATCAATTCCAGCCAGAATACTCTGACAACTTGAAGTCC